CTATGATTCAAAAATGTTTAGATAGGAAAAGTTACTGAGAATATATAAAGTTCTTCTTAGCCCAAAAACTTATTGAAAAAGATTAAATATTTTGGACAAAAAAATTAATTCCAAAACTTTATATATTCCCAGTAACTTTTCCCATCTAAATATTTTTGAATCATGGCAGTGAAGGTACAGGACAAAAATGACTACTGATGGTCACACAATGAGTGATACTATAAGTGAGTGTCATACAGATAAACCAGTGGGTTTACAGAGGGTTGAGGGCCAACTCATTGTTCAAGACAAATTCAAAGGGTTTATTATATCATACAAGAGCACACTTGACCTAGAGCTCCCAACTACTACCAAACTTCAGTAGATAGAGCAGTTGGAGTCCCTCATGCATAGGATGTATAACAAGGACATCATTCATAGTGACCTCAAACTTAACAATCTTCTCATTACAGCTGATGAGCAACTCATTCTTTGCAACTGGGCCACTGCACAACTCAAAGTGGAGGCAAAGCCACCAAAGGAGGGAATGACTGCATATCAGAGCCTGTGGAGGTGCGGCCAGTATCACCTACCACTTGATCTGGCTGATGACTTGGGAGTAATAATCTGGAACATTTGGGTTAGTAAACTGTCATTCGACCCCGATAGCGACTTGGAAGAGAAGCCTCTACACACACTGATTGCTAATGGACTCAAACCTGACCTTGAGAGTCGATGCAGTCAAAGACAAAAACATATGTAGCATAATCAAGATGTATCTGGAATTGCAGCCTAACGTAATCTAGAAACCTTTGAAATATGCTTGTGAGATATTGTCAGGAACGGCTTGACAAGAACAAGAGTATTTGATATGGCTTGCTAAAAATGTACAGTGCCGCATGAATTATGAACCTATCTTGACTTCATCAGGCAAGCACCTCAGACTGAGTGTGTCTGGCAGTGCCAATACCAGAACAACATAGACATGAGGAGGACCTACATATCAACTTCTGAGAATGCTACTAGAGGGGGAAAGGGACAGCTGATGATGATGACTCCAAGGACAGTAAGAAAAGGTACAATGGAAGTGGAAGTCATTTCTCCTAGCTTCAACTTGAAGTTTCACACTCCACTGGCACCTGGCAGTGTCAAACTCACTTAATGAATTCCTCACTGATGTAAGGGCAACCCCAGAGGCCTGAGATCAAGGTCCTGGCAGAGGAGAATCCAAAGTGTGAATATTGGTAAGTGAATACAAATGAAGCTGACCTAGAAGCGGAGGATCCAAAGAGAAGAAACTCTAAGGGTCTGCCTGCTAGAGAGCTGACTATATAATGCTTGTCTATAGCTGCCACTGTCAGGCACAGAAGGCTTGGGCGACATCACAGGCCAGGTCCCAGGGCGACTGTTGGGAGGGCGTTGACGGATCGGTGACTGTGTGGACAAGATGGGAGGGCCAGACCGGAATTGGAACCGGAATTGGACCGGAATTGGAGACATCTCCAAGGGGCCAAAAGGAAGGTTCCCCTGACATTACCCCCCCTTTGAATGTGGCGTCCCAATGCATAGGCCGGAACAGAATTGAGTTGAAGGTTGCAGAGGCGATGTGCCGTGGCTTGCCAGGGTACTTACGATAGAACTCCGCAATTTTCTCCAGGCGAAGACACGGTCAAAGTGAACCCACTGGTTGTGCGATGTGTTGTAGCCTTTCCATCTGACGAAGTAGTTCAGCCGTTTATACCTCACTCTTGCATCCAAGATTTCCTCTACTTCCCACTCTAGGACTCTGTCCTCGAGGTCCGGAGGGGGCTGGTCGTAGCCAGGATGTCCATCAAAGGGTTCGTCTTGGGTGAGCTCAAGCTTGACGATGGGGAAGACCGGGTGGAGCTTCGAGTAGCACAGAGGGAGGTCAAGCTTGTAGGTATCTTTGCTGATCTCCACAACTATCTTGAAAGGTCCGAGGCAGCGGTGGGAGAACTTTTTCGAGGGGCGGGTCGTCCTGATATCAGAGGCATCCAGTTAAACACGGTCGCCAACCTTGAACTTTGGAGACAGAGTGCGTCTCTGGTTGTAGTAGTGCTTGTACTCCTTTTTGGCCTTAGTGAGCACAGTCTTTGCTTTGGCAACACCAGTGGTGATCTGGTCACGGAACTCGTTCACTGACTCCATAGCGGAGAGGACTCCGGGTTCAAAGCCCATGCGTGGGAGCTGGTCTGAATGAACAGGAGAGGATCCAAAGAGAAGCAACTCTAAGGATCCACCTGCTAGAGAGCTGACTATATACTGCTTGTCCATAGCTGTGGTTGTTGGGCACAGAAGGCCTGGGCAGCGTCACAGGCAAGGTCCCAAGGCGACTGTTGGGAGGGCATTGATGGATCAGTGATTGTGAGGGCGAGATGGAGGGCCGGACCGGAGTTGGAACCAGAGAACTAGTATATTGTCTATGAGGTTGCGAACACCAGAGTCCCAGTTCATAGTTCTAAGTCAATAGCCTGAGACTGGCCATTGTAATTTGTTCCTCCCCCATAGAGATTTCTGAATCAGCACTGCTACCCGGAGTCAGAATTGGGCTGCCATAGGTCAAGCATACCAAGCCGAGCACCATGAAATGCTATGAAAGCGGCTGGTTTATGGCAACAGTCACAAATGAGAGCACTGGATAAAACCCCTCATGATCAAAAACCCGGTGGGAAAAAGTACATAAGTTCTCCCCTGCCCTATCAAAATCTCCGGCGTCCACCACAGAGCATCCAGAGATTCATGTTGCCAAGTCCAAGATAATGTTTCACATCCTAAGCAACAATCAAGACATGATTGGCACCAAGGGTAGATCCTTGGCGTTACAGTAATCCCATATCCCTCAAGCACCCTGCACAGCTGTTGCCCAGCAGTTGGGTTGTAGTTGGGAAGAGTGCCAAGGAAGCTCCAGAGTTCACTAGCAGTGTTGGGGCAGACTCAGAACTGATTGTAGTCGGGGCTCAAAGAGAATGTTGCCTACAAGAGCCTGGTGGTCGGTGTTGTCTAAGCCCATGTTGTCAGTCATCTACTGTGATGCCAAAACACTTTATAGCAAGGTACAACAGAGACCTGTGAAGCTTTAAGCAACATAATCAGCATGTTATGCACCATGAATTATTTCTTGATTATATATGTAGCCTGAGAGCGACCTTATTCCCACTGCTCAACAAAGTGCGGACCAGAGGTAAATGTTAAAAAGTTTAAGTATACTTATCCTCCATATGATCACACAGTGCTAACAAGGTGCCGCCATGTAGAAGCCCATGTCCAAACCTTAGAATTAGTAATTTGTGGCCCATTATTACCTGCGTTAACATTTTAAGAAATCCTCTAGTTTTCTTCTGAAACAATGCATGGTGGATGCAGAACGTGCCCAGGCATTGTGGGAGTTCGGCAATAAATGGTGCTTGTTTCAATCAATTATATGCCTAAAATCAATGTACTAAAAAAAAGAATTATATAATATATATATATATATATTTATTTATTTGCACCCCCAAAAATTTGTCCCAAATTGACTTGCTTATCTAAGAAATAGGTGCCATGAATGGGGGCGGGATTGGCAACTGATTAAAAGCCCCCTTTTCTTCCTCCATTATTAAGTTAAAACAGACTCAGTTTTTGTCATCCGGTTTGGGGCAGATCAAACACCCATTTTAAGACCAGTTTTTGCATCAAAATGGGACCAAAAAATACTTAAAATATTCACTTATATGATACATATCAGGGCCCTGTATTATATCTTTTGATGCCAGTTTTGACACAAAAACTGGTCCACAAAAGGGTGCTTGGTATACCCCAAAACCAGAAGACCAAAACCAAGTCTGTTTTGGCTTGATAATAGAGGAAGAAAAGGGGGCTTTTAATTGGCTGCTGATCTGGTCCTCATTTATACTCTAGCACTTATTTCTCATATAAGCAGATGAATTTGGGACAATTCTTTTCTGGGTGTAAATAGAGGTACAAACTTTGTTTTGATACAGTGATCTTAGGCATATAATCGATTGCAATGGGCACTGTTTATTCCCGAACTCCCGCAGTGAGGCTCCAATGGTGGACTCTGTGTCAACAGTGACATAACACGTTACTTGTATGGCAGTCCAATTGCACATTTATTTTTTACCGCGCGCACTTGATGTTCCGCGCTCTTTTAGGCCGGATTTAGTGGTTTTCCCGGTAAATCACAGATCCCAAAAAGATGGCGCGGGAAAAGTGTCCGCGCGCGCTCTTTTTGGAAACGCGCGCACTCTTTTGCCCAAATGCGCGCTACCTTAAAGTTTGCACAATCCTTTATGGGAGCAGATATGTATGTATTAGCATAGATACTCATACTCTCAATGCCCCCCCTGGTTGAGCAGCTCAGCTTGAAGCTGACCATAGATCTGGATAGACACTGTATGGTTGCCATTGTCCATGAATATGTACTAGCCAAAGCTTGCAAGCCTGTCATAACTAGTACTAATTCCTGATGATTCAGAACTGAGCATCACTTGCTATATATAAGGGCATCTGCACAGTGAAATAGCCCAGACCGTTGACAGCAGGGACAACGACAGGAGCAGGGCCTGGGGGATTAGGTGAAACAACGCTGGCAGGTGGGATGATGATCTTGTTTGCAGCCATTGGCCAGTCGAAGATTTCATTGTGTAGATGCCCTTAAATATATAGTGAGGGTCTAGGTTGCTGCTGGTATTCCTGGCTATGGGTGGCCTCAAGCTGAGCTATGGAACAGAAAGAATTCCACAAATTTGAAGGTAGCGCATTTTCTTTCATTTGGGCAAAAGAGTGCGCGTTTCCAAAAAGAGCGCGCGGACACTTTTACCGCGCCATCTTTTGGTATCCGTGATTTACCGGGAAAAGCACTAAATCCGGCCCAAAAGAGCGCGCAACATCAAGAGCGCGCGGTAAAAATTAAATGTGCACTTGGACTGCCATATACTTGGATGTGCCACCTTCTTTCTCACCGTCTCATCTAGGCTCTCATCACTCAGAAATAGTCCAAAATGACTGGAGGTTCGTCAAGCCCGGGCCTTGAATACGACAACTTGGAGGCCAGAATGAACGCGCCGCTGGGGGCATGGCCCGGTGACATGGACATTGCTGACCTCGACGGGGAGCAATTCTCCGCGACCGAGCATGCGATCGTCCGCTCGACCCGAGACAACCAGCACGTCTTCAAGTATTACTACAGCCTCACCGGCGAGGATTTGACCCCACGGATTACGCGCGAAATGCGTATGATGCTGCTGGCGGGTGAAGACATCTCCGTGAAGGTCGAGGGCCGACTAATCGTTGGCGGCATACTTGAAGGGTTCGTCATGCCCCGCGAAACTGTCCTTGACCTAGAGCGCCCCAAGGACATAAAGCGTGGTTGGATAGGGCAACTGCAGAGTCTGGTGTCCAATATGCACAACAAGGGCATCCTCCATGGCGACATCAAGCCCACCAACGTTCTTGTTACAGCCAGCGGAAGACTCGTGTTGTGCGACTGGGCGGCAGCGCAACTCAAAGCGGAAGCAAAAGCTCCCAACGAGGGGACAAGTGCATACCAGAGTCCATGGAGATGCCGCCATTACGAGCTTCCTCTCTGCGAATCCGGTGCGTTCTCATTACTGTCAAACTTACATTCATCTGAACCACCCACAACAGACGACCTGTACGCCCTCGGCATATCAATCTGGGAAATTTGGCTCGGTAAACTGCCGTTCAGCCTTGAGCGGCAGGAATATTCGCTAGAACAACAGATCGCCAATGGGCTCAAGCCTGACCTTGATGCCGTCGACGACGAGAACATACGCAGCTTAATTGAAATGTACCTGAACTCGCAGCCCTAACAGAATCAAAGCTTCGTACTTTTTTGTTGTAAACTGGCATGTGCTCAAAGTCTTCTGTATGATCATCAGCTGCGCAAAGTGCTCACTGAATCGCCCAAGAACCAGAACCATTGTCAGACGCTGATCTGTGGGTCCACTGGCAGTTTCGGCATCTGTTCGACCTGCAGAAACGAGGTGGTGCACTATCGATTTTTATTCATGTGACCTTTGCCAATTGTTAGTACTTCTTCTGTACATTGTGTGCGGTGCGTAAATCGCGCGAAAACGGCCGCCGGCGGAGAAACATTATCAGCTTCCCGCTTTGCCGGGTACGATGAGATGTTAATAACATTGTCAACCATATGGCAGACTGGACGAAACAAGATAATTTTACCACAGTGTCTGACAGTCGCCACACAGAAGCTATGAGTATTGCCACACTCGCGGTACTGGTGAGGTAAAACAATTATATCAGTGTCCCCCATGTATTGGTACGTACTACTACCCACGGACCCACAGACCCATGGGTACATACCCACGCCATGGACTACTATATAAGTGCTCAGTGCAACGTCCTAGTATGTTACAGTTCAAGTTACTGAACCCCACCAGGCCTGAAAACAAAGTAGCGGGAAGGTACCGATGACAACATACCTTGCTTTCTCTAGTTCTTACAATTTCATTAGAATGTGCCACACAAAAGAAAGAGACTACAAGAATTGCAGGACACAACCTCGTCACAGCTACTATGTGGACGTTCCATGCCCCGCTGCCCAGGCGCGTATGCTGCTTATGGGTTTTCCTGCAGCCATGTGCGTGCCGAATCCGATCGCGCCGCACTATGGCTTGGTCGGTGGAGGATTGCGCACGACCGATGCCCTCAATTGCCCAACGTGCACAGGACAGGTCGTCTACAGTGCGTGATTTTTCTACTTAGCATTCGTTTCGGACTAAGGTTTGTAGCCTAGACTTACTGCTCATTCACTTGGAGATGGGTGCGCTACAAGGCAACTATCGGTATCATGTTAATGTTTGCAATGAACGCGTGTTTTGGACCTGGATATCATTGTTAATTTTCACAAGTCATAACTTGATGAAACATTGCTGAATGTTTGGTGCATACATACATATCAGGTACCAGACCAGAAAACTTCCACTTATAGATCCACGGAAACCAAGTCCTTTATCCAAAAATGACCACAAATGCCACAGCGACGTTGTCCCCATCCTACGCCCAGTCAGTTTCTTGATGCCATGAAGAACAGACACGAACTTTGATAGGCGTCATATGCATCATCCCGAACCTGGCCCTATTCTCATTTCGCGCCTAGCAAGAGCTTTAGAGTTGGCGAGAACAGCAAATACTCAACACACCAGTATGCTTTTCCCAGGGATCGTGACCCCGCACGACATAGAACACGGCACACCCCTGCGGACCGCGTCTTTCAGCTCTTCCCGCAGTTTGCGCGTCTCGTTCCGATCCTCGCCCCCAGTAATCAGTGTGGCCATATCACTTCGGATAAGCGGCGATGCGAGTTCTTCGCGTTGATTCCTCGTAGGGAGGCCGAGGAAGGCTGTGACCCGTTAGAAGCTGGCAAAACATACAAGGAAAATCGAAGTATGTACCTAACATTTGCGGCGACACAAATGTGATCTCCCGTTTTTTGAGTTTAAATATCATGATCTGGAAGCATTTTAGTCTCGATTTCCTTTCCTCATGTTTGAACAGACAAGACCAACCTTGCTATACGTGTGTTGGAAGATGGCATATTGGTCTTGGAATTTGCTTTCTCCCGGACCGTTTAACGTGGCCTCCGCACCAGCAATCACCTGTTTAGAAGACGAAACGCCCTCGAGTCGCGTTCCGCTGGCCCCTTGCTTCCCGAAAAGACCCTTCAAGAATCCGCTTCCTATTCGAGGACCTTTGTCCAAACTGCCGCCCAGAACCGCGCCAGCAGCACCAGATATGGCTGGTACAGTTGGCTCTGGCGCTTGATCGGACGGATTACACAAGGCCGCCATCGCAGGTGACATGTCCACCGGTGGAAGAGGTTTCGATGCATCTGTGCTAGAGACGCCTCCAAGTCCCAGACCGAGTCCCTTTTCGGTCGCAAGGAGCCCAGTTACATTTGTTTGTCCTCCAATGAAGTAGACAATCGCCCCAGATGCGTCTCGAACAGGAATAATACACAGAAGCTATGAGGAATTTAAGCCAGAGACATAAGACGGGTCACATATAGCACGCACACAGTAGAAGGGCTCCCCGTCTCGTCCTAAGAAAATATTCAGTCATCAAACAAATCACTGAACAAAGCCCACTGACTATAATTCAACAATAGTTCGGTACACCCCTTTCCAGAGTTGAGCCCATCTCTTATTCTTTGGACACTAGCAGGAGGCGTGCCAGGTCCCTGCAAAAAGCGGCAATTTCGTCCGATGATTTGACTGCGCGGATAACCCGTAATGGCCACAAAACCGTCTGACACTAAGACAATCGGGTGGTCGGGTAAACGAGGATTTGTGAGAACAAAGGTGTCGCCCAGTCCTTCGCCGGCTTGGGCGCCTGCAAGGTTGAGGTTGGCCCGGCCGAGAGCGACATGCGCTTCTTGAATGATCTGGTGTTTAATGAAACGCTATGCAATTATTGTGAATATTGGATTAGCAGGAAAAAAGAAACAAACCTGGAATCCATCGTTGTACATCGACTCGAGCAATTGGGACTGTGTTCTGCCTAACCCGGCATCTGCAGCGAGGACCTGCTGGAGGACCGCCCGTAATTCTCGTTTGGTCTCTGGCGGCAAAAGCAAATCATTGTTGCTGGTGCTTGAGATGTACATATCTGAGAAAACAATCAGATCTATTCCACAACGACGATATTGAAACTGACCTCGAAAGACTTGACCCACATTACGAAGGTCTTCCATAGCATGCCCAAGATACCTTGTATCGGTCCATAAGTCAAGCTCCTTCGCTCCATCACCCCCGTCTCGGATAAGGAATTCGCGAAACCGGTGTCTGGCTAATGGCTCCATGAGCATCCGAGCAAACGCGGTCGGGCTCATCATGGCGCGCAACGTGTAATCAACATCCTTCTGCACCAGTTCGTTAGGTAGCGCAGACAGCCCGAGCAGGGCATGGTGCTTGATGGCGGGTGGGAGTGATGGGGCGCTCCTGTTCGATACCAACCCGCTGCCGCTGCTGTTTGTTCGCCGTGTCATTCCAGCAAGACTTCCTTCGCGGTCGCTGCTGCGGATGGAAGAGTGAGACCGATGGGAAGCAGGATAACTTCGGGGTGGAGATTGAGGGCCGCGTCGGCTTGACTGAGAATGATTGGATAAATTTCTCGCATATTCCGAGGCCACAGCCGAGATGGGAATATGGACGGGCACGAATGCAGGCTCCGGGGCCCACTGGGCCAAATCAGCGTCTGGCACCAGCTTCTCTTGGGCTTCTTGACTCGACAACTCGTCGCTTTCTTGTTTAAGACTGCCGTCATACGTATTCACGTCATCTTCATCTTCAGATGATTCAAAGTCGATCAACGAGACATACGACGGTGAATTGCGGACCCTGAGGGGAGGTGACTTCGCAGCAGGTTGTTGAGGAGCAGATTTTCGTCGCTGACGTTGCTTATAGGCACTTGGGGGAGCAAGACTCGTGGAGGGTGTAGAGGAGGAGGGCTTCGCTGGTAGTGCAACTGAGGTAGCGCTGACGGTATGACTCTTCGTCAACGACGGAAGATATATGGCGCTGGATGATGACGATATCGGTGGTCGATCGTCACTGTTGCCTTGTTCGCCTTTTTGAACAACGTCTTCAGCAGAGTCTGAGCGGGAAGAAGACGGAGGAGTGGGCTCTTGCTGGACAACAGTCATTGGACTTTCGGGGACAGCGGGCAGGGGAGCTGTTGGAGCCGGAGACGAAGGAGGCGGAATTAATGGTGAAATGGGACCATTACTGTCGGCCGGGTCCTTTTCCTTGCCGAAGTTACGAGCAGACCAGGAATGAACTGGTGCCGAAGCCCGTTTCGAAACCATAGGGCTGGTGAGTAGCGATTGCCTGCGGGATGGAACATGAATGTCGGCTGAAGGCGGTGGCGTAATGTAGTCGGACTTGACCGGCACCTGAATCAAGAGCTTGCGACTAGGGTCCGAGCTGAGTGTCTCTACGAGAACGTGAGCGCCAAGAAAAAGGCATTACACGAACAACCTGAAGAAGACATCGCGAGTTCAGAGGGATCCGACATGCTGACTGGTGAAAGTGGAAGGATGAGCGCGTCGGAATCGTCCGCTGAGGGGTCGTGGCCCATGGGAAGGTGGAGGGGGTTACCACGACAAACGGACTCCTTTTTCAACTCGCGGCATCTTGCGGATATGATCGAGGTTTGGAATGACGACTGGCCGCTGAATTTGCATTGCCAAACGATAAGGATGAGAGGCTAGAACGCTGACGGTTTGCAGCCAGATTTTTTCGGGGTGTCACGACAGTCACGCATTTCTGTACTTTCTGCCAACTCTCTGCTTGGTTCTAGCATTCGATTCCTAGCTGAGTTTCGTGTGGAGAAACTTGGTCTTATGATTCCGTCACTGAGGATGGAGCCTCCAGTCATTCATTCCGAGACCCTTCCACCTCGGCGAAATGAACTGACGCTGTGGCGATCGGGAGGACGCACTGACCAAGTTGCTGACCCTCGCTGCTAGTACACTCCAGGCTAAATTAAATTATCGTGGACCATCTCGAGGCTGTCTACGGCGTTTACAAGGACTCCTCCCGCCAAGGCTCGTGCGGGATGCAGAGTAGTATGAGACGCAAACATTTTATCTGTTGTCAAGATACTCAATATTGTTAGTACCTTCTACGAATGTACAGTGAATGGCACTTGAATCCGAATACGCATGTGGCTATTTTCTTTGGGCAGGCATTGGGGAAGAGAGCACTGGCACGTTGCTCTGTTGCGTTAAGAGAACCTTGATACGGTGGAAACGCCGGTGCGACGATCTTAATCATCCGACTTCGTCAAACAGATTTGAATGCCGGCGTCTTGGAATGGTCGAATTCGTTCTGGAGCAGAACTTGTCCACGGCGGCTCGAGGCCGACGTTATAGCGTACAAACAATTTCCTTAGAGAAACGGTTCGCAGCCCATCCGTTTGAAGGTTAAGGTATTGGACCATACCCTCCTCAGAAACAAGCTCGCATTTTCTGAGCGTTAGATTCTGCAATTTGGGGCAGCGTCTGGTCTCCGCCAGACGTTCGAGCACCTTATCGTCGATTTGCGGATCTACTTGGTTGTCTGCGATCTCCAGAGTGAGAAGGCTTGGAGGAAGGGTAGCCAAAATGGTTAGGAGGCCTTGCTTTGGCAATCCCGACGCAAATCGAATGACCTCAAGCTGCGTGCTTGATTGAAGGGTGGAAAGTAGGTCGTCGACGTTTTCAAGTAGGATGTCGTTCTCCGGTTCATCGAACCAAGGTTCTTCCTCCTTGTAGCGTAATATCAAGTAGCGCAGTTCAGGTAGTACCAGATTCGGAAGCAGATGGAAATGGCTGGACAAATGAAGCCTATTCAGGTGATTCAAGAGAATCTTTATATTAGGCGATATGGCAATAGGCATCATGATGTCCCAATGCTCCAACTTCAAGATGCAGACACGAAGCTCTGAACATTTCGTTAAGAGATTCGGGAGTTTCTCAGCTACCGGATGATCAGGCATATGTTCCGATATCGTCAGGTGAGTGAGTTTCGTCCAGTTAACGTGCTGTTGTAGATTTTTCACGACGCAATCGCTGAGGGTGAGTTTCCGGAGAGAAGCAGCGCGCAGAAAGAGTAAAGATTGCCAAGGACTCGGCGTTTCCCCGTTCGAGTGCACGAACTGTCTGATTTCGATAGTCACGTCTTCGAGGAAGGGGGTCTGGGGAAATAGGTGCCAATTGGTTCAACAAAACAAGAGGGCATTTTACACATATCGCCTTGCATCGAGGCGCATACGAAATCAAAAGATCGAGGACAGAAGAGTGGTTGTCTGCCAGTGGGGATCTAAGACTGGGTTCCCTTTGGAACGACAAGTAGAGTGGGCGAGACCCAGCACGGTCCAGCCAGAGTTTGATGCCATCAATTAGTTGCATGGTTCTGGTACTGTGAGCACTGCGCGACATGGCTGAAGGCGCAGGTTCAACAACGTGAAGCCGGGACCATAATTCTGGTGTTTCGAGAGCCAAAGAGCGCCACTGACTGCAAATACGGCCCAACAATATCGGCCCATCGAACGTCTTCATGCCGCAATATTTTTGTCGCGAAAGGAATTCCGTGAAGATTTCGCGGAGCACATCTTGGGGAAGGCGCCGAATGGGTGAAAGGAGAGCTCTATGGGCAGTGATATGTGCCATGAGCTCTTTGTGTTGCACATCCAATCTCAGCATTTTTGTGGCAAGTGTTTGTGCACGAGATATGGGCTCGACGAGAAAAGACCGGATTTCCGCTGCTTCACTGTCGGTTGGACATTGGTTGGATCCGAGTAGTGTCGCGAAGGGAGATAATGTTGGCGTTGGGGACATGATGGGTAAGTGGTGGACCCTGAGCGGTCACATGACACCTAGGGAAAAAAGCTTGAATTGTTCCACAAAGAAAATATTGTCAGCGCAGATATGTGCCGTTGGCTCCAAACGAGCATGAGACCGAGAATATCCAACGGGAGTAAGTATATGCATGCAATTACCCGGTTTATATTCCGTCCAATGACCTTTATAAGTACTAGTATGCACAAGCCACGCGAAGTAAGTCCAATGGAGATTGAAGGAAATACTGAAGTAGTTGTCAGCCGTTGAGCTAGTCATAGCTAGGATATCCCAAATGAAAGCACTTGATCGTTCGTCATGATGTTCGGTAACCGTTTCTTGTCGGGCAAGACCATCGCTCCTGCGCTCATTAACACCTCTGTCGAGTAATACTCCGCCCATAAACGGCCATCCGCAAGAAACGGGTTCGCGGCAAGAAACATGGCAAAGGTTGCGGTTGGGTCCAAGGTATGAGTGGCAGGGGATGGTCCAGGAGCTCCGGCTACGAGTGTTTCGGCGGATGAGATGGGGCTGGAATTTGTCTTCTTATGATCTTTTGTGGTCTCTGGAACAGAATCCAAACGGGGTCCATGGAGGAAGAGGAACGGATTCGAACACGCTCGATCGCCCAATGGACCATTTGTATCCAAAAGTAGGTCATCGTCAAGTGGAATGCGCGAGTCTTCGCTTGCGGGCTTTTCGAAACGTAGTTCTCGATGCCGTCGAAGATGATGTTCTTTCCTAAAACAGAAAGATCAGTCGCATACTAGTATATGAAGAATTTCTCGACTCACCCTTCTGTCGTCCATGGATCGATAGTATCGGATATGCCAGGCGGATGTGCGTATAGTGGTCCCAGGACGGCAGCTTGATGTCAGCGAATTGCTTCAGAAACGTTTCAGATGGCGTATGGGCATCTGCTTCCGCTCGCTCCAGCCAAATTTCCAGAGTGTTCTCCAGCAGGCAGCGCTGGTTCGTGTCGATCGGGCAAGTTTTGTAATAACTTGGAGGGTCTGGTGGACTCGGTTTCCTCTAAAGTGGCTGCTGAATTGCGGCTCCTTGCATCTCTCGCGCCGAATCAAGGAGCCAGAGAAATGCTTCATAAAAGTCTTCGCTGGGCGAAAATGCCGTCTTGAGTTGGCTTCCAACGAGACGCAGGGCGTGCCCTGGTGCATACTTGCGAAACTCGTCTCCCAGTTGTGAAAGATCCGGAGCCGAGGACAGCTCTGTCCGCGTCACAATTCTGCAGCGGAATCAACGTCGCGAATACACAAGAATTGGGAAATCCTTTGCGGCGCGCCGGTCCTTGTTGGCACGGTCTTCTTGCAGAAGAGACAGAGTGCGGGACTGTGCGGGTGAGCTCATCGCTGCTCTCTGACATTCTCTCCAAGTCTGTGCCATTAAAAACCCTCAAGAATGGGTCAACATGGTGATTTTCTATGTCGTGGAGGCCAACGCACCAGACGAGGCCATCCGTTCCCGATAGGAATGGCTCGAAGAACGCCGGGAAATACCGGAGCTTGGAGCACCCTACTGTGTCCCAGCACATTATGTCCACGGTCTCAGCCCTGGCCGTCTTGACAGGTACTTCGGCCGCTTCCACAGCGAATCCAATCGTCGGAATCGTGACCATAATCTCTCCTAGAGCAAAGTTTTTTTGAGTCAGAACAAGCTCCCAGTCAGAGGGTTCTACCTGTCGCCATCCTCTTCAGCAGCTCTGTCTTGCCGCTCAAGTCAAGGCCAACCATCAGCACCTTGTACTCTGCACCAGAAGCTGGGTGAAAAAGCCATTGGCGGAAACGGCGAAGCACAGCGCTCATGTTCCGATAGCGTATTGACGCATTAGTATCGGAGTTATAGCCTTTATATAGGGCCATATTCGTCGACGTGTCCGATCCAGCATCGACTCACAGTCGCTCATGGTCGTTCTGCACTGGTTGGACGCGGTCATGTGACGTGCAATGTAGCGTCAACACATACAAACATATGGAACCCGGTTGATTACCGTTTTTATACACAGTCTAAGAGTGAATTCGAGCGTTTTCCGATCTCGGACTCGAAACTGGGCACAAATTTACCAATTACTTTAATTCGATGCAAATTTCATTCCATCGTTACTAGTATTTCTTACCCGCCTTACAAGTTCTTTGGAAACGTTCAAGCTTGTTATTTGAAAGCAGATGTACATAAACGCATAGGGACTAATCCGACGCAAAGATCTATCAGTAATGTCCTTATTGCATCTTTAAATGTCCCCGGGCTTAGTTTCCGGCGCCTTCCAGTCCTTCAACCACTCTCTAACAAAGAAGATCATCTCCTCGTGGATCTTGCGAATCTCCTCCGGCTCCTGCATCAGGTCGAGCAGGCCCCACTCATCGTAATGATGGACGCCGCCTACGAATGCTTCTTTAGGACCGCACAAACATAAGAAACACACGGAACACACACCTGGGATGAGCTTGAACGGCCGCAGCACCGTATCCTCCCGCTCAAAAGCATAGTCGCTGTGTGGCGTCGCGGGGCGCCATGGGTCAACTTCAAATTGTTTGCGTCAATACGTGCAGGTTTTTACAAGAGCACCGACATACTTTCACCATCTATGATTGCCAACCGATCTGCGGCGATGTCGAAATCTCCTAATTCGTTGACGACCGTGACATTGGGCATGGTCGGGACAACAAAGTGTTTGCCTGGGGGAAAGGCCTGCCTGCAGATTTTGGCTTCGTAGTTCAGTGTGAGCAGCTTGGATACGATTCGAGGATAGTCTGGGTCCGGCGGAGCAGTTGCGAAATAGCCCCACTGCGCGTGTCAGTGAGCAAAAAAGAGTAATAATTACTTGAAGAAAGACCTACCTCTGTGCAGACTTGGAACAGCCATAGCCTCCAAGTCTGGTCGATATCCGCGGCCTCGTATTGCGAGTCATCCCATGTCCCAAAGCACTCGTCAACGGTTGCGGTTTCTGGGCACCGCGACACAACATTCTTCTTGATGTAATTCGCGTAGTTGACGATCGTGAGGTCGACAGCGAGTCCATCGGACAATGTCACAGTTCGCTCGGGAGCACCAAAAGGCAAGTCGCTGAGCGAAGACAGCCCATGACCGAACGGCGGTTTGTCGAGTGCTTCACAGAATTCGTCGAATTGTGTGGAGACAAAACTTGGGTGCCAGCATTGTGCTTGCCATGACCCAAGGGGACTCTATTGGTAGTAGTTTTGTCAGCAATAATTATTGGGAATAGATAGATACGCACCTCAAGTACCGAAACAAAATCGTCATCATGACTCAGCTCCCCCAGTCCGAATAGGGCCTTCAGTGGGCGCTTGAAGCGCGACGTAATGACAGTGTCGATGGCTTTGATCGCATTCTCAAGATGTCCAGAGCAAACGGGGTCAGCATATGTGCGGATGATCTCCATGTATTCCCAGTTCATGAGGGTCGCGTGGGTGACGCCTGGATCACAGGCAAATATGTAAAAATACGCGTAATAAAGCTCAGTTGACTTACCGCTGGAAGCAATGGCGCCATATACGAGATCAGGGTAAAGAATCTTCATGTGGGCAGCACGAGCACCAGCATAAGAGCCCTGCAATACGTGTTTCATAAGCAAAGCTTCATAAGACTGAGGAGTGTGTACGAACACCATAATAGATCCAAGGCGTATTCGGTGCGGTCAAGTCCTCGTCGATGCCATTGAAGCGGACGTTTGCCATGAAGTTAGCGCTGTCCTGAGCAGATTGGGCATTGTTCAGCCATCGCAGGTTGTCAGTCGTGAAGTTTGCTACTGGAACAGACTTTCCTGGGAGAAATTAGCACGGCTGGGGGAGAACTTGAACTGGATCCACAAACCATAGTAACGATGCTCCAGAACGATGCCGATGCCGCCGGTATGCCTGGCAAGAATGTCCATGATTCCTGGTTGGAGACAAGTAAAGTATGAGCCAACGAAACATTTCCAGAGTTATCCGACCTGTGTTGAGGAAGGTAATTCGGTTCTGCAAGACATTAGTATGAGCACAGTAGTCGAGATGGCCTCACGCACCATCCCGCTCGTCTCTCCTCCATCCAGCACAAACACGGGGCCACCGCTCCCAGGCTTGTAATGCCGCGTATTGACCCAAAAGCGCTGCGGCCATGTCGCATTCACAGACTTGTCAAAGTGGTCCAGCGGCTGCGTGAACCACTGGGCGCTGAATCCTGCTTTGGTATCCGCTTCCTCATTGTCCTCATCGTCTTCCTCTTGTGGGGCGAAGCCGTCTGTGGGGCCTTGGACGGTGAATTTCGGTGACGCTCTAAGTTTTGCGGCTGCTTTTTCGAGTTTCCAGAGGTTCACGGCCTGGGCGCCGAGGAGGCGAACCTCGTCGAAGTTGCGGGCAAGGGAGACGCTAGCGCAGACCAGGGAGAGCAGAGGCAGGACGCGTAGCCTCATCGTGGGCGGTAGTGAGGGTCAGCAAGCATGGGATGTGTGATCTCAGACTGATCGCCGAGTCAGGCTTGTTTTGAGCCGCCACCAACCACCCAACATGCGCTACAGTGTCCCGCGGTCGCTGTCCCCCTCACCCGTGCGACGGTCGGTCTTCGTTGCTGAACGAGTCTAGTAGTCTAAAACCATTCCCTAGAGACCCCCGAGAAAGCAAGGGGCGGTCGACCTACGGCCTCAACCTCGTCAACTACTCTGATTCAGACGACTCGTCTGACTCTCTGGAGGACACCGACTCTACGTCTGACTCAGAAGTCGAAGCACCTCCAGAGCCTCCACTATCACCAAGCCACAAACTGAGACCGAAGGCCACGCCTGAGCAGCGGCACGTTGCAGAGACAATAGCCGCGATCAGACTTCGCACACGACACCACGACCCTTACGAGGAATGGGAGAAGCAGACACGGAAGGATGCATTCGTGCGTGTCCTTAACTTTTCTTGCCACACGATCTGAAGTGAGTTTATAGCGCATTGCTCGGAAAGACCATGCTGCATTGCAATCAAAACTGCTCAGTGAGCGCGACAAGTCTCACACTCAAGAGGAGAGGCGGCTTGCGGCAATACACACGCGTCAACTCGCCGAAGTGGAGGGGATGCTGAGCTCGCTGAAGATCCAACAACAGAAGGAGGAAGACACACTGAAACGAACTTGGGAAGAGCGGGATAAGGCACTCTGGGCACGGATAGATGCTGGAATCAAGGTCGAAGAGGACAAGGTGCGAGTCAAGCTTGAGGCAGAACGGAAGGTCAGAGAGGAAGCGGAAAGGAAGAGGTTAGAAGAGGAGGCTAGAAAGAATGCGGAGGAGGAGAGGAAAAGGAAGGAACAAGAAGAAATAAAACGGGCAGCGGACGAAAAGGAGCGCTTGCGAGTAGAACAGGAAAAAAGGCAACAAGAAGAGGAGAGGAGACGTGCCCAAGATGAACAGGCCACAGCTGACGGTCGGAAAACTATTGGACTGACGACTGCTGGCGAGGATTGGAGGACAGCACGCTCTATACTTATGGTATGTGTTACTCAAAGCTACCAAGTCATATTCAAACAAACCATAACAGACAATAAAGAACAACACCATGAAGCCTATCAAAACTGACAAGGCCCGTCGGTCCATGTGGGGAGAGTATAGACGAAAGATAACACCCAAGATCGGGCAATTAACCAACGACTCTAATTCCATCCGCGACATTGTGAGCTTGAATCGTCAAGTCACTATACTATGACTTTTGCTAATATTTTGGGTAGACGATGTTCATCCAGTCTCAAATCATGCTCCCAAATCCACCACATCCGCCGATGTTATATACCGGCCTCTGCTCCTCCCTCGCCAAAGCTATCCTCTTACAAGCCGAAACCGAGGTGACGGCTGAGAAGAAAGCGGCCCTTCCACTTGCGCAATTAACCCACGCCCTCCTCGAAAATCTTCCTTCTTTCCCCGAAGTCTTCTTCGCGAAACTCGTCCAGCGCTGTGGCCCGTGGGCTATTCCGTCAGTACTCCCCACCACAGATGTGACGGGCGAGCCCTGGAAAGACGACGATGAACGCGCCAAGGCCATGGGCTACCGCCGAAGTGTCGAAGACAACGTCCCACGAGAACCGGTGGGCGAATACATGCTGCGGGTTGCTGGGATTATGCGGGTCTACTTTGCCGTATTGAAATTACCACCCAACAATGGACAACCGCTGAATCCATTGTTTCAAATGCCACGATTATGGGTCTGGTTGGCTAGGCTCATGGGCAGCGAGAGGATGCTGGAGAGTCCAGTAGCAGCTCAATTAATCTATAGTACGTGCAGATCTGACCTTGGATTTTCATTAGATGCTAACAGAAGACCGACAGCTGCGTTGGACGTCCTTGGCTCATTTGCGCTCCAGGTTTGGGGCCACCAGTGGGTCAAGCTGCTCGAGTTGGTTTACGCTGGAGCGACAGCCGGTTACTCTGCGGATAACAAACTCATCGGAGGCTCGTCTGCCGAAGGAATCGCTGCCCGTAGTCGTCTGAAGATGGAGGTGGAACGAATTATGGCTGGGAGGTGACAAGGGAGTGGGATGGAAACATTTTTGTATGCTTACTATTTTGTCGCATTGCTTTCGGTGTTTTATCACATACGCGGTGCTTTGAGACTCCGTTCTCTTCGTTATGGTCATCAGTGCTGACGCGCGCAAACCTAAGCTGGCAAATATTCTTATCGAAGTCGATTCTGGTAAAAGCGTCCGTGACTAGATTCGACTGAGATACTTATTGATTTCAATACGAGAGGTGCTTATCGGTTCTCCCATACACGCCGACAGCAACCCTTGATTTCAGGCCATACTTCTCAGAAGCACGGTCACCGAGCTAAGTAGTCCAATCACCTTGAACGTCCAGACCTAAATTTGATTCTAGCAGAATGAAACGTTCGGATATAGCTGTAGATAGAATGTTCAAACTCCGCGATGCGTCTCCCGCGACGCGTAAGTATGCTACTCTAGAGAAAAGGCCTGAGCAATGGATTATAATTTTGGACCGAAGGACTGGTGCTGACAAACTCGGCGCCGACAACCGCTGATCGGCGTTCGGATTTGATCGGCTCACACACACTCTCCCTCTCTCATCATGGCGGTTTCGCCGTTCGCGGCGAAACTGTCCACCAACTTCGTCCCCTGCGACTCTGAGCTCGAGGAAATCAGGGGGTACCTTGCGGGATACTTCGCTAAGCTGGCCGAGTTGGACAGCCAAATCGCACAATGGCAAGCGAAGATCGACGAGCTGGCGGCCACGCGCGATTGCGTCAAGGCGGTTATTGGACAACATGCTGCACTTATTTCTCCAATGCGACGCGTACCTGAAGACATCCTCAGAGAGATTTTCTTATATTGTCTTGCAGCTGAGCCCGTCGCACTTGTCGATGCACGGCGGGCACCGATGCTTTTGACGCATGTCTGCGCCTCTTGGCGGCACCTTGCCCATGCCATGCCCGCTCTCTGGAACTCTATACATATTCCCGGCGGCAGCTTCTCCCAAGCTGGTGGCCTCGGTGATATGCTCAGCTTCAATGCAGAAGTCGTTGCGCCATGGTTAAACCGCACCAAAGGCACTTCCCAGTTGCTATCCCTGTCTATGTCTTTCAAACGCCCTAATCAGACATGGGGACTACTCCTCAACGAGGTTTTCCCTCGTATCCGCCGCTTAGAGCTCAAACTCGAATCTGGCGACAATTCGCATATGCACTTGTTCCTGCGGCAGACGAGTCGGGAGCTTCCGCATCTTGAATGTCTCAAAATAGATACCAAAGAGGATAGCGGGCCAAATTTCTGGCCGACGACGGCACTTCTAGGGATTCCAACACTTCGTTCTGTCTCTCTACGCATCCGGGCAGATCCAATGAAGCTTCCACTCCCATGGGACCAGCTTCTTGAGCTCAACTTGCGGTGTTTCTTCAGTGCTACCACCATCGCTGCTGTATTTGTGGGTGGTCTATCGGTGGCTGATGCACTCGATCTTCTTCGTCGGTGTCCACGACTGCGAAAATGCTCCCTACAAATCACACGCGGTGGCCAGTTTCAACCTCGCTCGCTCGCTAACGCAATCGAGTTGCAAGATTTGGCTATTACCGACGCCATTTTCTTGCCCCAGCTATTAGAGCGCATCGATGCTCCGAACCTTCAACGACTATCCTTATCACCAAAAATTGGGCGGGAAGATGATGACCGGCCTGCTTTCTTGAACGCCATACAACCACACGCAGCCAACCTGACAAGCGTCGACTTCGTCATCACCTTGTTCAATACCCAAACACTGAGGTCTTTCCTTGCTATGGTTCCCGTTCTTCGTGAACTTGTTCTCAGGAGTGCAGCAGCCCGGAGCGAGGGCGTTATTGGTCGGGAGGAGATCCTTGAAAACAGCATCCTCGGTAGTCTCACGCCAATGAGCGCTCCGGATGCGAGTGTGTACTGCCCCCTCCTCACCCATGTCGAGTTCGCGTCGTGTGCTCAGTTCTCGGACTGGAAGCTCGCGGAATTCATCGAGAAGCGGATGACCTGCGAGGTTCGGCCGACACTGCGCTCTGTCATCGTCTCGTTTGAGCGCCCGATGCTGAGGGACATTATGCCCCATATTTCACGCTTCTTTGCGGCGGGCCTACGGGTGCAACTCGAGTGGTCGAAGAGCATTGCGTGGAGGTATGATCCTCATGCGGGTTTGTGTGATTTGTAGCTTCTAATGTGTATAAACCAATGCATTGTTTTTCGTGGAACAAAGATATTGGATTTGGAGCTCGGAAACGCTTGCAACTGAGGAGAACTGTTTTCCTTCGAGTTGAAAGTGTTGAATTACGTTTGCCCTCGACTTTCTTTAACTTGTTTTGCAGATTTCAACCTCGAGCATTCATAACTTACTGTGGTGTAGACAAGTTCTTTTAGGCTGTTCTTGGTGAAGATCAGATGGAAAAGCGATGACTAATTCTGCTCTCGAGGCGCAAGTATGACGACAGACCACGCAGGACAATCATCGACAAGGACAATCACCAGGGGTTCTCTTGTTTCAGGACCATGAAATGCAAGGTTTGCGGAGAAGTGGTGCAGTTTTTGTCGATGTTTAGTGACATACGCGGCGGCAGATACCTCTAAGGTGAGTGGTTTTTTCTCTCTCTGCTTGACATGGAGGATTATTGAGGAATAATAAGATGCCGTTGTCGTTGTCTTGGCGGCTGACATTTGACATTTGTCCTGTCGTGAATCGTGATGGGCGTCACACGCTTTTAACGTCTTGGTCCCGTCCTCTTCCTCGCCCGTTCCCTCCGCCCCCCAGCGCCGCAAAAACCCACAAAAAATGCTCCCCATGCTCAAAGTCGGGTACGTACAAGGTCTCGAAATACTTTCAGCGCTCTCATCCACTTCCATAGTGCACTCCTCGCCCTCGCGGCTCCCTACGCCTCCGCCCTCACCATCTCCTCTATCACTGGCAACTTCGTAATTGGTGGTACCATCACAATCAAGTGGAAGACCGACGCTACCTCGTATGTCTTCAGCGATATTTTGTGCTAATTCGGTTGCTGACTGCAATCTCTTTTTCTTCGTATGCAGGCCCTCCACCTTCTCGGTCGAGCTCCTGCACGCCTCTTTCGTGTGTCTCCTCTCAGAAAGCTCAATTCTGGCATATGTTTATGATGTCCTCAGAACCAGCAATATGCCGTAGCCAACAACGTCGATGCTTCTACTGGGTCCAAGGACATTGAGCTCCCCGTTGTGCCTATCGAGTATGTTCCAACTTTCCCGGAATCTTTCCAGAACTGAGCCACGTTACCAGCGATGGCTATACAATCGAATTGGTGGCCATTGACAACATCAACAACGTTTTCAGCATCAGCGACGACTTCCCAGTTGGTGCGGAGAACACCACTGCCTCTAAGTCTGTCCACGCCGGTCAGGTCAAGACGACATTCACCCCTCTCTCGACCGCTCCTCTTCCTTCTAGCACGACGTAAGTTCTCCTTTTTTTTCACGTCGCTTGTGGACGTTGGCATGATGGAACTGTGCCTGGTTCCTCATTTCTTCGCTTCCGTTACAACTCCCTTTTATCATCCATGAACTAATTTCTTCATTAGCGCGCCCCCAGCTGGCTCGTCTACTACCCCCTTGGCTGGAGGAAGCAGCGCACAAAACGCGAACTCCCCGCCGCCATCAGGCTCTCCCTCCCCCCTCCCCTCCCGCAAGTGCTGCTATTCCTGTGGCTGCTGTCAGTTACTTGACTGGCACCCTTGTTGCTCTCGGGGTTATGGCTGGGGTTGTTGCCCTCTAATCATGTGTTGTGTACAAACCAAGCAAGGCGGACGCAAACTCAGTCATCGTCCTGATATATCCCACGCCCTCCCGGCCTGTTGTTGTTACCCCCCTCCACCTCTTACTCGTCGTTGTCAAACAGACTACATACTTTCGTTTATATAAATACTTTCTTTTTCCTCATCTGCAGTTGCAGCGAGATCCTTGAAACAAAATAAGGGTCGGTGACCGATTAGTCAGCCTTGGACATTTTGCCTTCGACCTGCATGATCAACAAGTCATTTTCTATCACTTGTCCGTTGGTTGCGGCTGCAATCGTCCGGCGAAATCCACAAAGCACTCGGTAAAGCACACCGGCTCAAGACTTCTTTCAGCGGCGGCGATCCAGATTCGAATTGAATGATCACTCCACTAGTCTCGTCTGCACCCGCTCACCGACCTGCCAAAATTGCCAGACGCAGCACTGGGCACATGACCCAGCCCTTGTAAGCGCATTTTTCGCTTTTTACTCGCTCAGAACCATGTCTAAAGGCAAATACAGGCTCATATCCAGACGAGGGCCGCCACTGCCGATCTAAATCGACTCCGAGTGGTGGGTATCTACTGCCAGTGGACACAGAGTCGTAGCGAGGACAACCGGCTACTGTCGTATCCGAAGCGCTTGGAAGGGCTGTGGGGAAAGCGTCTGGGGTCTGCATCCGTGTCGAAGGCTTCCCATGGACTGAAAGCCCGTCGGGTCTGACATCTGAGAGGCGACACGATTCTCTTTCATCGTGCTCTGTTGCAAGGCTTGCTCGCCATGCGTTGCCCTTGTGGCAGCGGTCACCGGCACGTAATACTGGTCGCAAACGAATATTCGGATAGAACTGCTGAACCCCATTCCTTCACCCATATCTCAACACTCAATTAAACGCCTCCACGTTCCTGTCTTCTGCACCATCACGCTCAAATTACGCTGTCAACTTGCAAGGACGGGTGCAATGGATGCAAATTATTGACAGTGCCACCGACACGCGACTCCAAAGTGCCTCCTTCTGCATGATTCAAGTCTATTTGCTCGGGAATCCGGGAAATGCGATAACCGATGCATTTTTAGAGGACTGGGAGCAGTCGGAGCCAAACCTCTCCAGAAAAAGCCTGTGGTTCTCTTGTTTCGTCGCCTCCATGTGGTTCTCGACTTTTTTTGCGTCCTTGACTCTCCTCTGGAGTCCTGTTCAGCTCTTTTTCGACCATTCGCACTTTCGGGGAAACCGTCCAATCCCAAGTCACGCAACCAAGCTCATGATGGCTTTCTGCACCCGTCCTCACCTGATCAAGTACCCCCAGTATTATTCCGCCTTTGTGGTCTCAGGCTGCGGCACTGAAATCATATAAAAACGCTCGGCAAGACGCAACTACTCCAACACGTCTAGTTCCACTCGACTGTTTTCAAGAATGTTCCGCACTTTGGTCGCTCTTCTTGCTGCGCTCCCGCTTCTCGGTTTGGCCGCCCCTGTCGCTGAAGAACGCGCCGCAAACGCGTGTACCGACGTGATCGTGAGTGTAGCGCACTCCCAGCGTTGCTTCGTCGTTGACCCTTTGGCTGTATAGGTCATTTTTGCCAGAGGAACAACGGAGCCAGGGACCATTGGTACCATCGTTGGCCCACCTCTCCAAAGCGCGTTGCAGAGCGCCCTCGGCAGCAAGTCGCTTACTTTCACCGGCGTACCGTATGCGGCAGATATTCCTGGATTCCTTGTCGGTGGTGACCCTACTGGTTCTGCGACCATGGCACAGTTGGTAAGAGAATTTCCTCATTCACCTTGCAAAGCCTCAAGCTTATTGTATTCCAGTTGACCAGCGCTGCTAGCTCTTGCCCCAATGTGCGCATTATAGATTCATTTGTCAGGCGCTGATGATGTTTTACCAGGCAAAACTGGTCACTTCTGGATATAGTCAAGGCGGCCAGCTGGTGCACAACTCGGCCAAGTTGATCTCCTCTAGCGTTGCGGCGCGCATCAGCGCGGCTGTTATTTTCGTGCGTCCTCCTTCGAAGTAAGTGCCGCGCACAACGCTAAGCTGTATACCAGGGCGACCCCGATAACGGTCAAGCCGTCCAAGGCATCCCGTCCTCGAAGGTCGATGTGGTTCGTCCTAAGTTCACACTTATGATACCCTTTTGAACTAAGGAAACAACAGATTTGCCATGTTGGAGACAATATTTGCCAAGGTGGAGCTATTATTCTTCCCGCCCATCTGTGAGTAGCTTTTTCAGCTAAGGAGTTTCAAAAACTTGGAGGCTGACATCGATTCCGTAGGACCTACGGAGCCGACACCCCGGCTGCGGCTTCTTTCATTGCCGCCAGAGTTTAAGTTTGGAAACAGAAGGGATACTTAATGTACTCGTTGAATTGTGATCACATGACCGCGTCTGACCTTATTTGCGCCACGACACTCGACGGAATGGTTTCCATTGATGTATCAGCCTCTGAAACTTGTGATACTTATGAGCCGCCGGCCCTTCCACAACCGAGTTTTTACACCGTCTGACGTCGGATTCAAGTTTGCGTACTGATTCAATGCCCGGTCCCCGGAGGCCCCTGCCAGTGGGCCACTCAGCGTCTCATATAGTACGGACTCCGGAGTCATACCGATACAAGCGCTAGCGTCTGTAGCGAGGCCGCGGGGTATGTGCGCAGAAAGAGTGCCATTGGTTCGGTCCACCACTCCCAGATGTAGATGCCGCAGGTGGGAATCAAGGCCCATACTCTGAACTTCTGACTCGGAACCCTCTGAGAGAATGTCTCATCCAAGCACCGCCAGCACCGTATTCAGGTACATGTGGCACAACACTGGCCTCCACTGGCAGAAGTTTCGACCAATTTCTGCCACCATTCAATGAATCTATAAATGCAAAGCGATTCTTCAAGCGAATTGAACTGGTACTTCCACAACGCGACACTGGCACCTACCGATTCAACAGTACGGAGAATGGCGCAGTGGGTCACCATGGGTGCGACACGGTGTTGAGGATAGTGTTGTGAGGACTCGGAGGGGTCCCCACTGATCAAGATATCGTTCCATAGGACCGGAGTTTCGTGCGAGAGCTGGCGCCAATAACGGCAAACTCTGCCAAACAGCAGCGGCGCGGCGCCGGCGCCGGCGCCTCGTTGATGCAGAAAACGGCACCATGTTCCGCGGGCAGACATGCCAGGAATACTTCTTGCAGAACATAGGGCGGGAGACGGCGGATTGGTGCGATGAGTGGCTTGTGCCAGTGGGAGAATATGTAAAGGTGGAGAGAAATGCGCGTCTTCTTCAGACCCTCGAGGACCTTGGTGGCGGGGACTGGCGGCGATGATGATGGCGGTGTCGGGCTCAACTAGTCGAGAGCCGCGATACTGATAAGAGTGTGGAGTGTGGTTGTTTCCTTATCATTCGAGCAGTATAAACTGTCCAGTCCGTGTATGAACGGCGTTTGAGGAAAAACAGTCATCATGATCATGAGCGCTCGTCACACCAGATTACGTAGTCAGGTGACCATATATTTCTCACAACAAACGCCCATGTCGTCGGTGTTTGCTGCATGGCTCGGGACGAACTACTGCCCAACAGAAGATGAAGTTCAAGATATCAGGGCCTTTCTCGCTGAGTCCCAGGCTCGTGTGGACTCCCTCAACGAGGCAATCGCGAAGCTACAAGAAGAGCGCGACAAGCTTATGGAGCACATTACCGCCCACCAGGTCCTCTGCGCACCTATTCGCAGACTTCCCCCCGATGTTCTGCGCGAGCTATTTGCTCAGTGCCTTCCGGTTGGTAGGAATTGTGCGATGAGCGCCCGCGAAGGGCCAATCTTGCTGGGCCGAATCTGTAGCTCGTGGCGCTCTTTGGTGCGACATACCCCGGAATTGTGGTCGCGGCTTCATGTTGTCGAGCCACCACTATCAACATGGTACGGGGCGGTGTCACACAGAATTCAAAGTGCCAAAGTACAGCAACGCCTGCAGGCCATCAAGCTCTGGCTTGACCGCGCTGGATCCCTCCCACTTTCTATTTCGTTCCAGCGAGACGGCGAAAGAGGCACCAACAGCGCGACAATGACGCGCAACAACTCTACTCTTTTGCCTTTTCTTGCTTCCTATGTACCACGATGCACGAGCCTGCACCTTGATTGCCCAGCTGTCTTATTTGACGAGTTGGCGCATATTCCCTCCGAGCAGCGGGTTATCATTGAGGACATTACCCTCCAAGGTGGCTGGAGCATAGATCGTACATCGTCATGGGAGACACTCCGCGTTCTTGAGTCCCCCACGCTCAGACGCCTCACACTTGCATTTTATGAATGCATTGTGCAGATGGAGAGGCTTCCTGTCAACTGGGTGCATCTGACCTTCTTGAAGATAAGGGATCCCTTCACCAGTGGACTGGGACATAAAGCCAAGATTTCTAAGGTGCTCTCCGGATGCTTCAATTTACGCACCTGCGTGTTGGAGCTGTGCGATTCAGATGATATCGGTACTGGCCTGGGAGGCACGGTCGCCATACCACCGTCGAAAGCTGTCCTTCCGCATCTCCAACACCTTCAGCTGTCAACTGATTTTTCCCTGCTTCCACACCTCGTGCTCCCCTCTCTGCGCCATCTCATTTTGCAGCGGGAGGATGATGGGTATGCTCCTCCGCGAGACGATTGCCTGCTCGACAATATCCAACATATTCTTCCCACCCTGGCATCTAGTCCGCGGCTCGAAACTCTTCGCTGTGCATTGAAGCTCCCGGACGATAGCCTGATGGACTTACTTGCGGCCCTTCCTTCTACGCTGCTCACGCTTGAACTTGTTGACAACCCTGCGGACCCGCAACTTGACGACCCCGCGCTCGAATATATTGCTAAATCAGGTTGCTACCCCGAGTTACACACATTGCAGCTGCGGAAATGCGAGAGTATTTCCGAGGAGGGCATCATCGCGTTTCTGCAACTACAAGTCACGTCAAATTTGCGCGAGCTGCACATTGAGTACGACACGGGTATCGTGCCCCCACGCCGGCCTGGGGCTGATGCCCTTGCCCAGCAGCTTCAGCCGTTTAGAGCGGCGGGGACCGAGATCCGCGTGACACGACGACGCACAGGCATGTCAATGGTCTTTTCTCCATTTTCCGGCATGTCCCATCTGCTGACAAAGGCGGAGCGTGAAGCTTTCTTTGAGCTGGGCAGCAGCGGTCCGGAGGAGATTATTGATGATTGACTCTTTTATCTGAGTATTTTATGGCACTGATACCACAGTGCGAGGTTTAGTATCCATATTATAGATATGTGTCTACTGTTGCATTGACAGTCCTGACTCCACATAAAAGAACTCCTCGCTTCTATTATTATTGGAGTGTACTAATTCCTCATCTTGTCCGTTGCCTCACCTTCCCCCAGGGTCCCAGTGGGCTATACTAGTATTACTCCTCCATGTATCCAACTAGATCCAACCGGGGCCAAGTTGATAAGCATGATCAGCTCAAGAGCATTTAGACCCATCACTCACCCCAAGGATTCTAAAGAAAACTGGAGCATTTTTAAAATTTTTAATGAAGGTAATAATAGGCCAAAAAAGGCATTAGGAAAAAGCAAAACTCACTGTAGCTAAGGGGGGGGGAGGGGGGAGTTCTATAACACAATATAGTCAATGTAGTAAGTATCTTGATTGAATTTGTAGCACAAATGTAGCACTTTATATACAGCTTGACACATACTGTAGCACTATGTAGCACATATATTTATACAGAAAACCATGAAAATATTCACCATATGTTGTTAGGGTTATACTGGTACTAGTGGTACCAGGGTATTGCCATAATATGAAATATCAAGGTTTGTAGTATATGTAGTAGATGGGTCATCTTTGTAGCCTTTATAGTCCATCTCCAAGCTTTATAGTTATATATTGTACAATGCATATATTTAAATTTGCTTGATAATAAAGCTCTGTGCTCACTTAACAGCTGTTATAATATTCTGGACTGTGTTACTCAAGGTTAAATCCCGCATAAGTGAGTATTCCAAGCACACTCTTTAATAGGATGAAAGACAATACAAAATACTGTGCAATACAAAGAAGATATTTTTACTTATTTCATAAATGAGCTATTTATATTCATGTTTATTTGTTATACAAAAGAATACATTTCTGCCATTTTCAGAAAGATTGTCTTTATATACACCTTTGCTAGCAGATGTCAGGGGAACCCCCGCTTCGGCCTCCTTCGGACCCTCCGAACGCATCCGAGGCGCATCCGACCGGCGCCCCCTCGGACGCTCCGACCCACCCCGACCATCGTCCACGGCCTCCTTCGCCCGCACAATCACCGATCCGTCAAGACCCTCCCAACGATCACCTTGGGACAGAGCCTGCGACGCCGCTCAGGCCTTCTGCGCTCTACGTCGGCAGTTACGGACGACCAGTATATAGTTGGCGCCCCTAGCAGGCGGACCCTTAGAGTTTCTTCTCTTTGGATCCTCCCCTGCTAGGTCGGTCCCTCCGTGTATTTCCCGTAGCTTTTATTCACGCTTTGGATCCTCCCCTGCTAGGCTTTCGTCGGAGTCTCCAGGGTTGCCCTTACAGCAGAAGAAACTCTCTACGGGATTAACCGGTCAAGATTGCCAGGTTTGGCGCTGATTCAGGCTCGGAGTACGAGTCCGTACCCCCCTCGTCACCGCCCCTGCCACTTGACCCCTCCTCCTCTGCTCTTGTCGTCTTTACGCCCGCTATGTCTACCGGAGCTGCTCCGGACGCTGACGCGCGCATGGACGCACTTGAGGCGAAACTAGACAACCTCACCAATATCCTCACCCACCTTGCTTCCCAGGCTTCCGCTGCCGCACCACCTCCGGCAGCTCCCGAACCGCCCTGGCATCTCCGAATGCCCCGACGCGGATGCGTTATTTGGTGACATTACCGTCGCCTCAAAACTGGTCTTACGACCAAACCCCCCGTTTGCGTTTAACGGAGATCGCAAACGCGGCCGCGCTTCCCTATACGCGGTCAAAACCTACGCTCGGCTTGCCCCGGAGGCCTTCGTAGTTAACGGAGAGCCGAGCGAAGAAAAGGCCGTCCGCTACGCCATGTCCTATATGGCGGAGGGGCCTGCTCAGCAGTGGGCAGAGCGTCATGGGAGCAAAACCCCCTTCCCCTTCCCTCGGTGGAACCTATTCCTCTCCGAGTTTCGCCTTGGTTCGTTGAGGAGAACGAGCAGGACCTTGCGCTTGCCAAATTGGAGAGCGGGGTTATCACATGGGAACGCGGGATGTCTACGGATACACCGACGACTTCGAGGACCTAATGGACCTCGCCGGATTCGAGGACGCGTTGGTTAAGGTGACCAAGTACCGCCACGGACTTGACCCCCTGATCAACAACGGCATCACGTCTTCGAACGACCCCCAGACCTCCGTGACTATCTGGGCTGGCGCACTCGGGCTTTCCGCCAATCTGAAGCCTTGGTACGGGCGAAGCTCATCAAAGGGACCACCCCGGGACGCCTTCGGGGGCTCCGCGTGGCGCATTCCCTATCGCCCGTTCGGCAACTCCGTTCCCCATCCGCCCGGTGGCCGCACCTGCGCCACCCGCGGCCCGCGCCCCCGTCCCGGCACCTCCGGCTCCCGTCCCTATGGAGTTGGATCGTACTAGGGCTCGGGGCGCCCCTCGTCGAGCCTGCTTCAGATGTGGCGACCCCAATCACTTGGCTCGGGACTGTCCGCTCCCCGCCGATGTTCGCCATATGGACATCCTCGACGAGGTAATCCAGCAACTTGGCGATGAGATGCTGGGAGAGCTACTTGCGCGGTTGTCCGACACCGCGGCCTTAGCAGAGGCGCATTCGGAGGCTCCGGCAGAGGATTTTGTCCCCCGCGACGAGTGACTGGTGTGCCCTCGTTCGCGTCCATAAATCGTTTCACTTGTTTGTATGATGAATCAACTCCCTTTCCCTACAACGAGCCTGAAACGAAAGACGCACCCCCTGCCCCCTCCGAAGCCCCCGTGGATTCGCCGACTTGCCTGGGAGAAAAAGCTACCTGGCAGCTATACCATCTCTGCCGCTCCTGGGGTTAACTCGCTCCACCTTCCTCTTGAGCTTGAGTCCACTGCGAACGCACTCAAGCTCTCCCTCTCAGGTCTGGTCGACTGCGGAGCCACTTCGGACTTTATCGACACAGAATACGTCAATCGAAACAACGTGCCGGTCCGAAATCTCTCAGTACCCATACCGGTCTACAATGTCGACGGCACCCCCAATGATGCTGGGTCTATTCGCCAAATCGCGGACCTGGTCCTACGGTACAACGGACACTCCGAACGCGTTCAGCTGGCTGTAACCCACCTTGGGAAACAGGACTTGATACTCGGGTACTCCTGGCTCAAAAAGCATAACCCCGAGATCAACTGGGAAACAAAGGAGGTGAAAATGAGCCGCTGCCCCCGAAGCTGCTCCACCTGCCGCGACGAGGAACGGACCGAGCGCTGCAGGTTCGCCGCCTCCGACTCCTTAAATCGCGCTTGCTTGCGGGCGCCTTCCCCACCGTTTGCGCTATCGATATCGCTGGCCCAGACGATGCCGACGACGAACTCGGAGCTCCTTCGACCCCTCCGGAGCCCTCACCAGATCTTGACGACGACGAGCATCTTGAAGACGGCGACCGCATCTTCTACACCTCCTTTCGCCCAATCGAGGAGATTCGCGCTGGGAGCACCGTGTCCCAACGCCTTGCAGAGGCCTTCGCCCGTAACTCGGCCCCCCCGCCTTCGGAGATTCCGGACTGGGCCAAGGAGTTCCAAGACGTCTTTGACAAGGAGTCCTTCGACACGTTACCAGAGCGGAGGGCTTGGGACCACGCTATCGAACTCGTTCCCGACGCGAAGCCCGCTAATTGCAAGGTGTATCCGATCTCCCCCTTGAACAGCGCGAACTTGACGAGTTCATCGAGGAGGGACTTGCCACAGGCCGTATCCGCCCTTCGAAATCTCCGATGGCTTCCCCCGTCTTCTTCGTTAAGAAAAAGGACGGAGGACTTCGGTTTGTCCAGGACTACCGCGCCCTCAACGCAATGACGATTAAGAACCGGTACCCCCTCCCGTTGATTAATGACCTTATCAACAGGCTTAAGGGCGCCCGTTACTTCACCAAACTCGACGTTCGCTGGGGGTTTAATAACGTCCGGATTAAAGAAGGAGACGAGTGGAAGGCGGCCTTTCGGACCAACCGAGGGTTGTTCGAACCTTTGGTGATGTATTTTGGCCTGACGAACTCCCCCGCGACTTTCCAAACGATGATGAATGACATTTTCCAGGATCTCATTCTCTCAGGAGACGTTATGATCTACCTTGACGATATCCTTATCGCACATTCGGACCTCCGTAAGCACCGCGAGATCGTCCGCGAAGTTCTTCGGCGACTCCGAATGCACAAGCTGTACCTTCGCAAGGAGAAGTGCGACTTCGAGAAATCGTCAATCGAGTACCTGGGGGTTATCATCTCTCACAACCACGTCGAAATGGATCCCGTTAAGGTTGCCGGAGTCTCCGCATGGCCTCCGCCCGAGAACAAGAAGGACGTCCAGCAGTTCCTGGGGTTTGCTAATTTCTACCGCAGGTTCATTCGGGATTTCTCGGCCCTAGCGCAACCTCTCTTCGCGCTCACCAAGAAAGACCAGAAATGGGCCTGGGGAGACGCCGAAGCCGCCGCCTTTCAAGCTATCAAAGACGCGGTCGTCTCAGAGCCCGTCTTAGCGATCCCGGACGACTCCCGGCCTTTCCGACTTGAAGCAGACAGCTCAGATTATGCGACGGGGCGGTTCTTTCACAACAATCCGCCCCGGACGGGAAGTGGCACCCTGTAGCGTTCTATTCCAAAAGCTTAAATGATGTCCAGCGCAACTACGAGATTCATGACAAGGAGATGCTCGCGATCATCCGTGCACTCGAGGAGTATCGGCATTTCCTCGAGGGCGCCGCACATCCGGTCGAGATCTGGACTGACCATAAGAACTTGGAATACTTCCGAAAGGCGCAACACCTTAATCGTCGGCAAGCCCGATGGTCGTTGTACCTTTCTAGGTTTGACTTTACGCTGCACCACGTCCCAGGTCGCCAGATGGGCCGTCCCGATGCTCTCTCCCGCCCGGCCCGACCACGGCATCTCCGAAGACAACTCGGATGTCACCCTCTTACGCCCCGAACTGTTCCACGTTCGCGCTTGAGGC